TTGATTTCTTTGGAAGTCCGGTACCTTAGACATGAGAATATAATAAATATCCAAATATGTGTGTTTGGATATTTTTCATTCAAGATTGTTTGATAAGAAAAAAACTGAACATCATCAATCATAATAAAATACCATTTCTGAAGAAGCATACGTGGGTATCACAAACCATCCACATCGAAGAATGTTTGTTATAAATATCCAATTAATGAAATCGTATACCGATAATGTGCTAAGTGACGTAAGTTAATGTAACACCTGTCGGTGATAAAAAACAAAACGCCTAAACTGGAGTAATAAATACAAGATTTTTGTTTGAATAAAAATCTCAATGGTATTGATTGAAGCGGTTTATATTTCTATGGCACGTTTTGAGGTACATGATATTTGGTAGAGATAAATGTTTGATACAAAATATTCCGAGGTCTATAAACGATTTAGGTGAATTGTGAAATAAAATGTACCAAGACAATTAGAAATGAATCTAGACATTTCTTCGAAGGATTACGGGATCGATTGCAGTTTTGTTTGGGGCTCATATGCATAGATCCATGATCCGTCATCTGTGACAATCTTATAAAAGTCTTTGAAGCACCACGATTATATTTTTTTTTCAAAATTTCTTTGAGCCTATTTTAACGATTATTAATTTGCACGGGACCCAACGGGAACAATCATTTTTTAGGCCAAGTGATCATGCATTATAGCGTATTTGCTGCTTGAATCAATCCCTAAAAAACTTTTATTTGCTATATACTTTAAACGAAAATATTTGATAGTGATATCTGATTGGAAACACAAATTATGGCTCACTAAGCCCTTCACAAATTACCTTACGCATATAAAAACTAAATATACCATTTAATGTAAACCATAAACAAAACCTACGTTCAAACTGACCTTGAATAATTTGCTGTTTCGGCACAAGATTTGCATCACTAAAAAAATACCCAAGTATATTCTTGTTCAGCAGAACATGTGAAATCGTAAACAATGAAGATAATTCTTTACATTTTTTGTGAATCATACGAAAGAATGACGACAACTGAGACTGCACAGTTTAACCAAGAACAGAATTTTATATTAATATTTTGAGCATCTTTGTAATTTGTTTTTGTTTTCTTTTTTTTACCAAAATCTGCCGTACATAATTAAAGGATGAAACGATACTTGTCGTTGTTGTCTTTTGTTAAGACGATTTAAGCCAATAAGCTATAATTAAGTTAAAGTGCCGATAATCCTCTTAATAAGATGGTTATTAAAATGTTAAGGAGCTTAAGTACACATAAATATCCCTAGGCAGTAAATGGTATGTATTTACACTAGTTCGCAAATATTTAATTGATCAAAAAAAAAAAAAAAACAAAAAACAAAAAAAAAAAACGACTTCACTTCTCAATAAAATAGTAAAAGGATATTACTTTTGGCATTGTATTGTACCTTTTGATAATATCGCATAAAATTCTAAAGTGCTTACAAAATGCCGCTTTGTTCTATTTTGCATGATTTTATGGAGTGGAAAATTCCTTATGAAGATGAAAGCTTTTGGCAAGTATATTAAGAATCCAGAAGGACACATTCGTTGTTGAGCTATGGTGTGACAATTTTGTTGCTAGTAACTCTAGAATTCATTAAGAAAACGTTTTATATCTTGATATGGCATGTCATCAGTCAAATTGTATGATGGACTGACAATATTTTGCGAGTCAAAGGGACCAGGACCTTTACATATACATATATTGGGTTGGCGAAAAAAGAAATCCATTTTTATAACCTTCACCACATTGTTGTACAGGGTATTATGTCCTTGTGCATATGTTTGTATCAGCCAAAAGGAAACCAGATAGGCCCACGGTTCCATTTCAGAATATGCATAAAATCACTTTCTGAATCGATTTACGCATGTCCGTCCCTGTATTTTTGTGAACAAAGTACAGGTCGCATCGCAAATCGGATTGTAGATTTGGATGAAATTTGGCACAGTTCACTTATATGGCCCATAAAATTGGAGAAAATTGGTTCAGATTTAGATATAGCTCCCATATATAGTTTCGTCCGTTTAAGTAAATGATGCACCAAACTCCACATATTTATCTGATTGGGACAGCATTTTGCACAGCGCTTTAAATCAGGTCCATACTTATGTATGCCAAGTTTTGTTAGAATCGGTTCAGATGTAGATATAGCTTCCACAGGGATGGTCCGTTTGTCGAAATTTAAGGTTTTCGACTGTCAAAAAGTTGTAAACGTCAAAAACGTCATATACTTGTATGGAATGTAATAAACGTAGTAAACGTCATTTATTTCAATATTTTCCACATATACAGTTATTTTCTATAATATAGAATATTTTTAGATATTTCTGACTATTACTTACTAGTCCGAAAAATAAATTCGAAACATTTTTAAAAAGAAAAAAAAAATTAAATTTGATATTGGTTTCATCAAAGTATTATACGTCGTAAATGTATGTCATTTACGTCAATATTTCTGACGGACCATCTCTGAGCTGTCATATATAGTTTCGTCCGATTTTAGGTGAATGATGCAGAAACTCCCAATATTTTGTCCGATTGGGATAAAACTTTGCATAGCGCACTGAATTATGTTTAGACTGATGTCTGCGAAGTTTTCATAAAATCGGTTCAGATTTAGATATAGCTCCCATATATAATTTCGTCCGATTTTTTGTGAATGATACAACAAACTCCCAATATTTGTCCAATTGGAAACAATTTTGCAAAGGACCTATGTTTGTTCGATTTACACAGTAGATCAATTAGGTCCATGTGTTTATATATAGTTCCCATACATAATTTTACTTGATTTCATACAAGAGGTACACCAAAGAATCCAAGTCTTCCCGTTTGACATGCAATTTTTCATTGATTTTAGAATGGCATGTGTATGGGGTTTTTTTCAATTGACTAAAATATCTATCTAGATAGCACATTTAATTTCGTCCGATTTCATCATAATGGTTCTCCAAAAATTCTATGTCTGTTCTATATACAGGATATTGTAGATATTATCATCTCTTGTATGTACCCAAAATGGTGAGGGGTATCATATAGTCGGCCCAGTCCGACTTTAATAAATGTAAATGGTTTAAAGCAGTTATGGTCGATTTCGATAATTTCTCCAATTTTATCGACATTTTCGACGACCGGCCGACCTGTGCGACGTGCATCTTTAACATCAAAAATTCCTGAACGGAATCTACGAAACCAAAATTGCACATAATTGGCTGTTACAGCATCGGAATCATAAGCACCATTCACAATTTTAGCCGCTTGGCTTGCATTTTCGCCTTTGTCAAAGGAAAAATGTAAAATGTACTGAATTTTCTCTTTGTTCAGTTTCATTTTTAATACCCTGTAACTCACAACAGAATGCACTAAAAAAAACAGCAAATTATTTTTTTACTGCGAACTATTACCATTCCAACGAGCATAAATCTTAAAATTGTTTGGTCGATACTTTACGAGAAATCTCTCAGTACAGCCATCTGCCGAAAAAATAATGGATTTCTTTTTCCCAAAACTAATATTTAAAATTTTACGTGAAGTTCGCATTATGAACAATGATGACGCCTAACATTTTCGGTGATAATCAGATAATATTTAATTAGAAAAGCTGTTTCCATAATGATCAATCAATATTTAGCGGGTCAAATGACCCAAAACTTTTGGGAAACACTTGGGGAAAACAGGATTAGGAAAAGACCCCAGGGAGCTGTTCGCCTCTAACTGATCAAGAAATATTTCCCTGGCTCAGAATATAGATCGACAGAAAGTTAGAACTCAGTAGTAGTTGTGTAAGGTATAATGGACGAAATATCACACACACTTCTAGATCTGCTCGCATTTCATACCCTAAACATTATGAGAGTATATACAATTAATATGGTTCCTCATTGAAATATTGGTTTTAGACCCCATGTTTCTTGGACCAAATCCGTTTCAGACAATTTGGAATCGATTTACAAATGTCCGTCTGTCTGGCCGGCTAGTACGCACAATAACTCTCGAAGGGGACATTCGAATTCATCCAAATTTTGTACATCGTAATATTTCTACCAAACTTAGTTCAAGTTCGAAGATGCGAAATATCGGTCCACTCCTTTTGGAACCTCCCCTTCAAAATGATCAAAATTGTGCTAAAACTTAATATTATAATATTACTCCAACGGACTATCCGACTTGCACCAAACATTGCACAAACGTTTATATTTGCCAAACCTAGATCAATTCAGAAGTTGGGACCCGTCGGCCCTCTCAAAGGGCGAAGATAATTTGATCAACGTTAAATCCGAAACCTTTTTTTGATAAAAAAAACATATACATTATATAAATCCTGTGTGTAACTCCGAAAAACAATAGGCTTAGGGTATATATCTGTCGGCAACGCCGACTGAGACTTTTTTACTTGCCTTTACGATGTTGCCTAAAATAGAGCCATTTTAAAATACCATAAATACCAGTCGAATAGAATTTTTTTCTATTCGAAATTTTTAAAAATGTGCGTAATTAATTTAACTAAAATTTAACCAAATGTTTGGAATATTCTGAACAATATGAATATTTATAGCACATGAATAATCAAAACCACATTTTCATAACGCTTTTGTCTTAAGTCTTTTGTTTTGATGACAACGCAAGTTCAATGAACCATTTACTTCAACAGATCACCCTTTGATATTGAAAACTTCATGTTGTGTTTTTTCTTGCACAATATTCCACTTTTTGGTTGAAAATAAAAAAATATGTGTTAATTTTCTTTTTTTGTAAAATTTTATAATATTTATTTTGTTTTCTAGGAAAAAAATTACCAACAACTTAAAAAAATTAAACTCATAATAACGTCTAACACGCAAGCATTATTCAAAAATAATATCAGCGTTTACTTTCCGTCTAATACTCAGTCTTCATAACAATATCGGTGTGTGGATAGGTGATTAGGTCAACCATTCTTACTTTTAGCCCTTTTTTGTGTCCTTGAGCTTAGAAGAAGAATCTCTTGGCCGGGATATTGTAATGATAACCATCCTCTTGCAATTCATTGCCAAATACTTCCTCTAGGGGAGCGGCATATGAGGGAATGGGAATTTTGAAGGTGGGTGTTGGAGCGGGTGCCAAATATTCCGATTTGTTGGGTTTGGGTGGCAAATATTCCGACTTAATGGGTTGAGGCGGCAAATACTGGGCTACTGGGGTTGTGGGTGGTAAATATGTGGGTTTTGGTGGTGTGGGTGGTAAATAGGTGGGTTTTGGTGGTGTGGGTGGTAAATAGGTGGGTTTTGGTGGTAAAGGTGGCAAATATGTGGGCCTAGGTGGAGTTGGAGGCAAATAAGATGGCTTAGGTGGTGTTGGTCTTGGTGTTGTTGTCGTAGTAGTCGTTGTGGTTGTTGTAGTAGTTGTAGTGATAGGCTTAGGGGGCAAATATGTTGGCACTGGCTTGGGAGGCAAGTATGTGGGTTTTGGAGGTGTGGGAGGCAAGTAGGTTGGTTTTGGTGGTGTGGGTGGCAAGTAGGTTGGCTTTGGTGGTGTAGGCGGCAAATAGGTTGGTTTAGGTGGTGTAGGGGGCAAGTAGGTAGGCTTTGGAGGTAAATAGGTGGGCTTTGGTGGTTCTGGTGGCAAGTATGTTGGCTTAGGTGGTGTTGGTTTCGGTGTTGTGGTGGTAGTTGTTGTCGTTGTAGGTTTTGGAGTTGTTGTGGTAGTTGTCGTAGTAGTAGGAGGAGGCAAATAAGTAGGCACTGGTTTGGGTGGCAAATAAGTTGGCTTTGGTGGTTGTGGAGGCAAATAGGTTGGCTTTGGTGGTTCTGGAGGCAAATAGGTTGGCTTGGGTGGTGGTGGCAGTGTAGTTTTTGGCAATTCAAAAGGCACCTTCGGTTTGGGATAATCATAACCTGGATGATTTTCTATTTCTTGGTGAGAGTATTCATAGCCATGTTGGTGATGGTAATGGTGTTCATGATGATCATGGTGATGTTCATGATTGTGGCCAAACAAATGTGAAACATCGGCCCTTACAAATGCCGCACAGGCCAGCAAAAGCACAAATATTTTCTAAAAAAAAAACACAAAAAACATTCACATGAATAATTAATTAAATTAAGAATCTCATTCTAGCCAAATAAAATCAAAATCGAAACGTACCATTTTGTATTTGTAATCCCAAGTGTTTCAATACTCCTCTACGACACGTTTCTGTCGCTGTGGACGGTTCAGAGCGAAATGATATCTTTTGTTGAGTAGTTATTCTTATTTATAGTTCAGTCAGAAATTTGTAGCGAAAAAATTCAGATTAAATGTTCTTTTTTGTTCAGTCAGTCACACCGGCATGGAGATAGAGTGTTGGTGTCGTTGTTGTTGTTGTAGTGTTTGGCTGCTGTTGGTGTTACTTGTATTGTGGTTTGTGTTATATATTCTCAGCTATTTTCTGCTGTTGTTGTTTTTAGCGTTGTTTCAACAATTAAACAGCCTTTTTACACATTTTATTCTGCTTCTTCTTATTCTTCTCCAACATCACTATTATCACTGTCATCGCTTTTTTGACCAGACCATACCATATTTAACAGACTTACGAGCTAAGTCAGAGACTTGTCAAAATGTTATGTTATATGTCTGCTACAATTGAGTCAGTGAGTGATAAGTTGTTCGACCATACCCGCGTCTGTCTGTCCATTCGTTAATGCGTCACAACGTCCGTTTGTTTGTCTTCAATGAAGATAATTTTTATCGTTTTAGTCATCCAGCCATAGCGACAAAAGCACCATAGCTCACAAGAACATCTCCATCCGCTGAGGGTCTGTCTATAGCCACATTGTGTGGCTAATAGTATTTTGATTTTTAGTTCAGATTTAATTAATTTACCAACCAACTCACCTATATTTTGGCACATTCTTAGTTTGTTATTTTTGTTATTTGAATATCTTATGTTTGCTTTGTAAATGAATATGTTCATATTATATTTTATCTGATGCAATGAAAATTCTACATTTAATGTGGATTATTTTAAATATATTTTTTTTTTATTTTTTTTAATTCACATGAAAATGGTGTTATTAAAGTTTGATTTTTGGGTCGGTATATACTGACGTAAGTCATTGCCGAGTTCTTTTTGAGAAAATGGGAATTAAAATGATTGGTGTCGCATCCCCAATCGGAACTATACTGCAATGGAAGACAGCTGTCATTTTTATGACACATTTTCCTTATAGGTCTTACTATTGACAACAAATTACAACCAATTCGTTTGGAAAATCTCATCTTTGTTGTCGGCTGGAGTTTGATTTTCTTTGGGATGTCATGTATTCAGTCAAATCGAATGAGGAATGTTTGGGGAAAACATTTCCTCCTTCTATCTCAGGTCCTTGTGCGTACTTTCGTTCATATTTTCTTGAAGCATAATATAAATACCACAAGACAAGCTTTTTGAACCTTCAAATGTACTGGAAAAATATTTTTGATATGATCCCCAAAGTGTCCTCGACCTTTTCCACTTTCCAAGAAAGTAAAATAAGAACGGAAAAGATGAACAAAAACTCAAGATATGATGAGGATATTTTTTATAAAAATATTGAATAAAACTTGACCTATGACGAATTTGCCCTTCTCGACAAGGGGTGTCATCCCCATAAAGGTTTTCAATCCCGCAAAAAAATGGGTCGCACATTTTAACCTGTGGTTGGCATAGTACGATCAGGAGGGACTTAAAATAATTCAAACCTTTTTATAGGACTTAAAGAAACTAAAATACTAAATTACAGAGGTTGGAAAATGCGGCTAGTGAAACGATCAAATGTGGAGTTTCCCATATTTATGAGCCAATCTTTGGGCAATATCGAACATTTTCCTGCCAAGATATATTTAACTAATCTACGATTGTAATACGAAAGAAAAAAAAAGAGACTAGGTCTATGAGAACGCATAGGGAAGATGGGAGGCATATCAAATCATGTACTTATATTAAAAATATTGTTGTCCAAAATCTCTAAAAGCCAATTTGGATTTTGGAAAAATCATCTTCAATCTTCAAAATGCCGAAACTGTCATCGAACCTTAATATTCACGATTATGAGTACATCGAAGAGCAAGAATAAACATAATTGTTTCTAGGTCTACGACAAATACGTTAAATAACAAAATTTTATATAGCAGCTAGACTGTCAGGTTCGTCTCGAAACATTGAAGGCATTCAGCATGGATCTAACATTATTGGGTGTAACCATCACAGCGACGAATATAATCTTTAGACTACTTTAGAGACTACCAAGGCTCCGTAAACTCTTCCATAGTCAGAAGACAATTTACAGTTACAATTTACACAATTTACACAATTTACACAGTTTACAATACAGATAGTCTTTAGTCAAAATACATTATATCTTTGTATACCCTCCATCAAGAGATGGACATTCAAATATATATAGCTCCTCGTGGCCAGGAAACCCGAAGTTCATACACTCAGGTTGGAAATTTGGAATATGACTTCAAACATGCACAAAAAATGAGACAAGACTATAAAGGAATTAGTCTCCCATCGCATATAAAGTGCTATCCAACGTGCTGGGTGAACGACTGAAGCCAATGTCAATGGTGTTATTGGATCGTATCAATACGGCGACCTGGCAAATCCACCATTGACCACATTTTTAAACTCCGCCAAAACCGGAAAAATACCCACGAAAAAATTATGGACACATTTAACCTATTCGTCAGCATTAATACGATTATGCATGATAACTTTAACTGGATTAAGGCCAGCAGTTAAAGTCTGAAAGGACCTCTCGGAGCCCTTCAATACCGAATGAGGATGTGGACAAGGTGACAGTTTGACGTGTGACCATTTTAACATCCTGCTGTAACAGGTCATACGAAATGCAAATGTGAACAGAAATGGAACTCTGTACACCAAACAGCATATGTTACTCACCTACTCCGATGACATCGACATTATGGGTCGAACATTGCGCGCGGTAGCAGCCACCTTTGAACAAACAGAGGAGTCTTTCAGTCCCAAGTAAATGGCGAGAAGACCAAAGTTAAGATATGGACGCGTAAGACGTCCAGTAGACTCGGTCCAACTGTGGAACTCTATCAGGTTTGAATTACAGAGAAGAAAAGCGTTGGCCAACAGATGCTACTATGGTCTGAGTAAGCAATTCAAAACAAGGCCACCTCTCGCCTGACCAAACTCACACACTATAAGACACTGATACTACCCGTGCTGGTGTATGGATCTGAAGCATGGGTACTTGGGCAACAGACTGATAGCTCTTGAAGTGTTTGAGAGAAAAATTATCAGGAAGATTCATGGGTCGATCTGCTTCCATTTATTCTCAGACATCGACATAGTCAGACGTATTGAGCTGCAGCAACAACGTTGGCTAGATCATGTTGTGCGAATGAATGATGATGCCCCAGCTCAAAAGATATATAAAAGCGAGACTCCTCATGGTTCAAGCGGATGGGGAAGGCCACGAATTCGATGGAAAGATCAAGTTGAACAAACCATCGTTATTTCGAGTTTTGTTTTTATGCCTTTTTAGGGCGAAGTATCATTCATGTAAATGTTTTTTTTTATTAATTTCTCTATGGAGATGAGCTACATGATCGGAGTTGCAATGAAAAGAAAAGCCACAGAGATACTACATTCTTACAAATGTCTTTACTTGATAAGTTGTATTTATGTCGACTATTGTTGCGAAATTGCATCTATGAATTAAATTCAACCGTGTCAAGGTTCGGACATTTGGCATCACACCAGAACATTCCTTTTCAGAGCAGATTTTTCTTGTAGTGACGGACTTTTTTTCCATACAGACTACAATACTTTTCTTCAATGGTATGCAACTGCATATTGTGCAACCTTAGAAAGATAAGGAGGTGGCTTTGAACGCTAAGGCGCCGGACAACAATCAACAGATGCCATGGGAACAAGGGTTCAAATCCCAGCCAGGCTCAAGCTGAATTTTTCATATTGGATGATGCACACAATACCGACGCATCCTAATTATAAGATAAATTCAAAAAACACCGAAAATCCGGCTTCAAAATGTCAGCATCCTTTTTGGGTGGATGCAGTGATTATATCGAAAAATCATACATTAGAACCATATTGTGCATTAGTCACTGATTACATGTGCGTGCGTTGTGTTGTTTAGCCACAAATCAGGAAGGTACACAAAAAAAAATCTCGTTGGCTTCAACACATTTTTACCTATTTTTTTACATTATCACCATCGCAGCTTCCACGCAACTTATTATTTATTACAAATATTTTAGGATTTTGACAAGAACACTTCATTTTAGAGAATTTACGCGTGTCAGTTTCGTCAGTCAACGTCAGTTTCATGGAATTTAAAAAATTTTTGTAATTTCCCATATACTTTATGGGTTCTCCCGTGCTGCAAACGGAATGACAATTTAATATGCGATTTTGGATATTTTAGAGGGTTGGTCTCTTTTAAGCTCTTGTTTCATGTAAGTTTGTATTAAGTATTTATACCTAAATTATACGATTTTTATAATTTGTATACCCTACACAACTATGTTGTCAGGGTATTATAGGTTTGTGCAGCCCCAAAAGTTTGTAACGCCGCGAAATATTGGTCCTAGACCCACCTTTAAGTATACCGATCTTCATATCTCGGCTAGCTGAGTCGATCTAGACATGTCTGTCCGTCCGTCTTTCCATTATAATTTGTAAACACGATACAGGCCACAGTTATGGACCAATCTTCACGAAATTTTGCATGTAGAATGGGTTCTGGCCAATGAAGACCCCTATTGTTTTTGGAAAAGATCAATTAATATTTAGGGGATGAAGTGGACCAAACACATCATTTTTGTCTGTTTTTCTGGTCGCTCCAGAGGCCACAATTATGACACAAACACCGCGAATGTTTGCATGGAAAAGGGGTTCGGGCCAAAAAATAAGTATGCCTGTTTTGATAAAGATCGGTCAATATTTAGCGGGTCGAATGGACATTGACTTTTGTGTGAAAAATTACAAAATTTGTATTCAATGGCGTGTATATTTGCCCCTGAAGGACCTAGACCAG